TTTTGTCGGTGGAAAATACAACGAAATATATCGAGCGGAAACGAGTTTTTTTTTTCCCACGTGTTCCACCATGTATTTCAAATGATTTTCACACGTATTACTCTCGATTTCTCGATATTCCATTTATTTCGCTGTAACACATACCGCCAATGAAGACTGGCCTCGAGTATGCGACGCTTTCTGTAGTTCGTTTTTACATAAATTTTGATTACCGACTCATGAAAGTGCTTTAATGGGCCGGGAAATACGTGTTTGTTTGGCTGGATTTAGCGCCTTGATCAATGACATTATTGCCCACCCAGGGATTTCTCCCAGAAGGCGAAATCCCGAGAAGGCACTCTAGTAACTCGTGCGTATATTAAGGAAAGTACTTACAGTTGAAATATACAGTCATACAGTCAATATAGAAAAAATCTCGATTTGCTTGAACAGGGGCCGCTAGGAATCGGTAGGTAATGATGACGTTTCTATTGTTTGCGCTCGCAAGTACGAAATGGTTAGGATGGCGTAAAACAAAAAATCCCGAAGGGACCGCTTACAATAGGTAGATTTTGTGACAGTAATTGTGCAGTCATACTTCGATACTCTTTTGCGTTACGTGTTATCAGTGACACTCTGTGGAGCAGTTGTTATGAAAGTTATGGACCGAAAGACACTCGTTAAGCGCAGATGAAGTTATAAGGTGCGAATAACAGTGTATATTTGAACAATAAGTGAGTTTGCCAGATACGAGTTCACAAGTCTTTGACTGGAAACCTTGCCAGACACTCTTTCTCTTTCTTTGACCGGAATAAGACTCGGCCCCAAACAAGCAAGAAGAGTGAATGATTCAACGGCTAGCTTATCACTAGCAGAACGATGGACGATTACAGAAATTCGCCAACAATCAAATTCTGCGCTGACTTATTCCCTGCTCACAGATGTCCTTCCGCTATAAAGTTTAAAATAAGACTAGAATGCGCGAGCGTGAATTGATCAAACGTCCTTTTAATTTATAAGGCTTACTTTCCGGCAAATAAAATGAACTAAATGTAAAAAGTGAAATAGAAATAGCGAAAAATTAAACTTCTAATTAAATCTTTTCTTATGGTTTGAAATAAACTATTCTTGAAACTGAGAATGTTTGATCAAAGCTGTGTAAATCGACTAAATCGAACCGAAACCGTGCATGGAACCTTGCGTTTATTTCCTGTATTTATCTCACCCATTGTTGCCCCCGCAGGGATTTCGCCCAGAAGGCGAAATCCCGAGGAGGCACCCTGGTTACTCGCGCGTATATTAAGGAAAGTACTTACAGTTAAAATATACAGTCAGTATGCCAGAAAAAATCGCGATTTGCCTGAACAGGGGCCGCGAGGAATCGGTAGGTAATGATGACGTTTCTATTGTTTGCGCCCGCAAGTACGAAATGGTTAGGATGACGTAAAGACAAAAAATCCCGAAGGGACCGCTCAGGTAGATTTTGCGACATTTATTGTGCAGTCATACTTCGATGCTCTTTTGCGTTACGTGCTATCATTGACATTCTGTGGAGCAGTTGTTTTGAAAGTTATGGACCAAAAGACACTCGTTAAGCGCAGATTAAGTTATAAGGTGGGTATAACTGTATATATTAAACACTTGGAGAGTTTTTCAGATACGAGTTCACAAATCTTTGATTGGAAACCTTGCCAGACACTCTTTCTCTCTCTTTGACCGGAATAAGACTCAGTCCCAAACAAGCAAGACGAGTGAACAACGGCTAGCTTATCACTAGCAGAACGATGGACGATTACAGAAATTCGCCGACAATCAAACTCTGTGCTGACTTATTCCCTGCTTACAGATGTCCTTCCGCTATGAAGTTTAAAATAAGACTAGAATGCGCGAGCGTGAATTGATCAAACGTCCTTTTAATTTATAAGGCTTACTTTCCGGCAAATAAAATTAACTGAATGTAAAAAGTGAAACAGAAATTGCGAAAAATTCAACTTCTAATTAAATATTTTCTTATGGTGTAGAATAAACTATTCTCGAAACAGAGAATGTTTTGATCAAAGCTGTGTAAATTGAACAGAAACTGTTTCCTGTATTTATCTCACCTATTGTATGAAATATGTGTGAAAATCTTCATTATGAATCGGTATATTTCAAAGAGCTACTCAACGAGCAAGAATACTACTGGCCGACAATAAACAGAGCGGGGACAGCTGTAGTGTCAACTATTACTAGTCATTAATCAAGAACAATGAAAAAAAATCAGACAGGTAAGAAAACTTTTAAGTAGCAATTGGTGTTAATATCATTCTCTTAAAGCATTGTGAATATATTATACTTCAACGTTCGTTTAGTCTTTGTGAATGTAATACCATTTCTCAAAAAAAATTTCGCACAAACCCGTTGCATGATATTACGACCTGTAGTCGTATCCTGATACCTAAAAACTAAAGACGCTCTAACCAATCCGTTAGTATGTAGTATCATGGGTAGTGGATACCTGAAATCTACAGTTAGCTTGCAAAAATGCTGTAATCATTCCGACCTGTAGTATCATGGGTAGTGGATACTGGGAACAGTTATAGGTGCCCGAATTTGTTAAAACGGAGCGGGTAACCTTCGTTAAAGGCGAAGTATACTCACTAGCTCTCCTGATCAACACTGTATTTTTAATATGTGGAATTTCAAAGCTGGAAAACATCGTTAATAAATGCGCTAAAATCAGCTTAAGCTTTATAATTTATTTCCACATTTTCTCTCCCATTTTGTTTTAGTGATCCAGGAGCCTCTATATTTGGCGATTTTATTTGCGATGGTGATATGCAACTGTATGGTCAGGTCTATTTCTTTTGCTTGATATATAATAATTACAAACACATAAAAAATCATATCCGGCATGTGTTTGTTTCTGTCGGCTTTATAATAATCTCACTGATGCCTTTACACAATTTACTGTTAATATTAGTCAGTAAAAGTAGAGTATAAATAAGTTGCTGCTTTTACGGTCTTAAGGAATTCAATGTCTTAAAATCCGAAACCTTTTTTTACGGTCTTTCAAGAAGTGGTGAGGATGGTCTGTTGCAATTTTTATTATCAGTCACAAAACTGAAATTCTTGCCAAGTTTACCACTTCATACAATTTGACTGCCTGAGATTGAAAAGGGCGCTAGGTAAAATGTTTATTATCTCGTTTTATTATAACCGAGACAGTCAATGAGTGGAAAAAGATTAAACCTTGCTCATAGTTACCTTGCTTTAATCGGAAATTGTGGTCACGTTCATTTCAGTTATTTTCTCTTTTGTGGGCGATTTACTGAAGTCCTAGGGTGTTCGGCTAACACCTCAAAAGCCGAGAGTTGTCAAACCATGGCATTAAGTTACTTATGCAAATGAGCTGAGAGGTCATAGAATGTCCTCTCAAGCTAATTTCATAACATTTTTTAGCGGCTCTAAGCCCGTCATGGGTAGTCATGAACGTACATACGAAGCCAAGGCATGCAGCCTGCGTTTCACATTAGCCTAAAGTTGTAAATAATTGATTTTAGACATTCATGTGAATTGATAGGTGTCATGAAAAAAGGTATCCCTTGACCAGTATCACATGACCATATAAAGGGCTCAGGGGTACAGCCCATGAGGTCACTTGTTTATTTAAGTTCTTCGCTAAACAGCTAAAAGTTTGTTTATTGGATCGCAAGCTCAAGTCCTAATTGTTTTACTCGAAGATATTCAGTTTAAATGTTTCTTGTTTATAGTGAAAGAGAATTGCCTAATCAGGCCAACAGCCAGCTGCAGTTTAGAGGCAATCAAGGCAGAAAACGAGAAAAGCATTCAAAAGCACATGGCTTTGGTTATTTGCTGCACAAGAGTTTCAACATTAAAATCTTCCTACTTTAAATACCTGAACTTGGAGGTAACTGTGAATCCAGCAACTTTTTAACAACATCTGAAATAGATTAGATATCAGCCACTATGAATACAAAAAAGACAACTCGGATTACAAGGGAACAAAGTTAAAAGAAAGTACATGTGCCCAAAGCAGCCTCACTTCACCATAAAAATTAAAACTTGTTCGGCTTGAGCGACCGGATACATATGGACTAGTTCACCCGCCTTACCCCTCTCTTTTCTTAACGATCGGTATAATCTGTGTGGATGTACTAGGACATGTCTGAGTTAAAATGGGTCTTTCTCTTCTGACCTTGTGGAAGTCTTCTTTACCTTGAGTGCGATAACTGTAGTGCCAACTACTTAGACGAGATAAAGATAGCGATGAGCGGGGGTTCAACCCCCGGAGTGTGGGGTAAAGGAGGCCATAGCATTTTTCTATTTTATTGCATTTATTAACTCCACCATAGACATAAACAAAAGAAATAAAATGGTCGGACACCGCAACACAGCCGTGGCCAATTGGCCCAAGACACATCTTCAAAGCTGGATAGTTTTATGTTATTGTCCACTGTGGGATAAGATTGGTGTCCCTAACATATCCACTACCAGTGATTTATTACGTGGAGAGCGCTATTCACCTGTTTAACAAACAGGACCTTGTGCCTCAAGCTTAAACTAAACGCAGACGGTGGACGATACATGTAGTCTGCGAATACAGAGGAGTGAGGAGAGACGGCTGTATTCGAAGGCTACGGTACAAAATGTTGCAACGACCTTGCCTTAGCCCCAAATCCGAGATGATCTGAACGAACATTCCTGCCTGCGTTCTCGACAAGTACAGAGTGCCAAGTGCACATAAGTTAACAAATCAAAGCTTTTTAATCAAGTCAACATTTTATCCTTCGATACATAGTTAAGACGTGTGGGTGAAAACCATGGAACTTTTTGGAGCACTTGTTCCTTTCATTTTCACTTACCAGAAGGGGGGTAGATGAGTCTAACATCAAACTTGTTTTTTCTGAGAAATTTGCTTGATCTGCAAATCATCGTCTTCTTTGACAGATATGAACTTTTGATCCAGTTGCAAGGGAAAAGACATGGTTTAGACTTCCCCTTCTGTGCACATAGTGGACATAATGAACAACGCTCCACCCTGAGTCCTGGCCATTCTGTAAGGAGAGCATCTACCTCCTACGTTGTGTGGGAAAACATAAGTCACATTTTATGTCACATAATTACGGAGACAAATTTTCTTCACTCTGTTACATATATGATTGACAACTAGTAACTACATTGATTCGCACTGGCTCGACAGCCAAAAAAATCTCCAGGTCCAGATGACATTCCACTTAAGTTACTAAAACTAGACAAACCTGCCATTGTCTCTCCCTTGACTAGTGTATATTAATTCTGTGCTCACCTCGAAGAAACCTTTGCTGATTAGAAGAAAGCTCGCCTGATTCCGGGGTATAAGAAAGACAACGAAGCAGACACAAACAACTGCAGACCGATATCGCTTCTAAGTGTTCCAAGCAAGATAATGGAATCGTGTGTATCAAAAACTGTCGCTTGTCATGTTTTTTCTAATAAATTAGTTACAGATAAACAGTGGGCCTACCGTGAGGGGCACTCTGTAGAACTATTGCTCTTACACCTCTCAGAAATCTAAAGAAAACTGATGTCAATAAGGTGGTTGCTGTGGCGTTTGTTGACTTCTGAAAAGCTTTTGACTGTGTATCCCACGCTATGTTGAAATTTCAGTTGGATTTCAAGGTCCCCTAATTACTACTACCGAACCGATCGAACTCAATTCTCGGTAATAAATGGCCAGCATTCAACTGTGCTAAACGGGATTCCTCAAGGGTCAGTACTGGGCCCCAAGTTGTTCGCCTTCTACACCAATGACCTGTCAAATGCTGCTCCTCCTTGCTCTGTCTTATGTGCGCGGATGAAACGACCGTTTATTGCATTGGAGACACTTTTGATAACGCCGTTACTTCTTTAACTAAACCTTTATCGGAACTTAACAGTTGTTGCCCAGAGAACTCTTTAACTCCTCACTCGGCAACTGCGAAGCTATGCTAATGATGAGAAATCCGCACATCGGGACGCAAAATTCTGTGACTATTAGAGAGGATCGGATCGAGTGGGTGAAGAATACTCGCCTGTTGCGCGTTACTATTGATGACCAGCTTTCACTGGTCACATCACCTTACAGATGTAAAAAAAAGAATTTTGTGAACAAACTGAACGCCGAAAGAGGAGTTCGTTCTAAAGTAGAGATGCCCTATTGGGCTTGTATTTTAAGATCATCTTGCCGTCAATTCTATATGAACTTGTCATTTGGGGTGGTTACGCTAATGTGGAAGAGAGAAATTCTCTGGAAATGCTTCATCGTACGGCATTCCGAGTAATCTACAACTTGCTCCGTGACATGCTAACTGCTGAAGTCTACCGGTATTCGAAATGGAATACATCAACCTATTATAACTCCGGTTAATAAAACTTCGTAGCGTATTTAAAGGTGAAGCACCTGTCGCACTATCGTACTTGACGAATACTATTCTTACAACTTCAGAAGGCGCAATAACAATACTGTCCCTCGTTTTAACTCGTACTTAAAAAAAAAAACTCAATTAGCTACAGAGGGGCAATTTTATGATGGAACGCTGTTTCGACAAATTTTACGGGTCAATTTACGGATTACGGTAACTCGCCGGTGACCGGGGTTAAGAATGAAGTGTTACAAGCTACAAAGACGACTTGTTAACATCTCCTCTCTTGCTGAGATTAGTGATGTATACCGGCTACAGGCAATTATTGTAATTAAAGGTTAATTAAGGACTAAAGGACAGCCCTGTAATAATGATTTTGAAAATGTGCTGAATTTACCTGAACAATCCTAAGCAGTACTTCCCACAGTGATTCCAAGCAAGACTTTGGCCCCCTGCCTTTGATGTAAATGGCTGGCGAACTAGACTTGGCACCAAGAGGGAATTCATGCTTTCTAATCACAGCTCTATGCTCATCAACAAACAGCAAAACCACATCCTTCCAGTTGACGTATTCACCGTCAGGAAAACAGCACCTCACTCGTAACCGATCAAATAAACCAGGAGGTATGTAGGAAATCATGAATAGCAAGTTTATCTCTTCCTGTTGGTTTACATATTTTCAATTAGTATTATAAAGTACGTGTTTTACACTCACCGGTTGAAAGAATTTCGCAGGGGCGCTTTGTATTCAGCCAAAAATTCCGGAAATTTCGCACGGAAATCTAATGGAACTGACCTGTTCATTTCGGTTCGGCCCGACCAGAATATTTGGAACCACCCTTGAAGGTGGTCCACATTGACCGGTCAAACTGGTCGGAACCGCTCTTCTGTATCCTGCTTTAATAATCAAACGCTGGTGCCTTGGGTCGGGTCTGTGCAACCGCAATGACAAGTAGAATTTGCGACATTTCGAACTGGAATTTTAATTGTTGAATGGAAAGCGCTCAGTCAACGTTTTGAGGAATTTAACGGTGCGAAATACCCTGGGTACCAGAAGTCTCTGGCACCCAGGGTAGGTGCGAGATAAATCTCCGATCAGTTTTGGTGTATTCAACAGCTCGACAAAGGTTTGACGAAATGAGGTTTCGATAAATTCCAAATCAGTTTCGATGAGTTCAACAATTTGACGACTTTATTCGGGCTTTGATGAATGTAAGGTTTCGATCGAGTATTGTAAGCCGGAAATTAACCGGGTATTCGATGAATTCAAACATTTGGTGAATTAAGTTTTGATAAATTCACAAGATTGAATTTTGAACCCGATAAAGCGCCATATAGGGGCATGTTGCTGTGTCTATATTGTGTATATTAAAACTCCTATGAGCCGTTAATTCCGTGATTTCTATATTAACGGTCTAACGGTGTTTAGATAAAAAACCAAAATATTGTGAAACATGGCTAGCCGGCATACCTTTCGCTGAATGTCCCTCTTGTTCGTCCTGGACAGTTCATAAGATATTTTCAACTTATTTTCCCTTTTACTGATAAGAGGCGGGTCAAGCAACCACTACAAGAAGAACCTCCAATTACAGAAAATGCAATTTAAACATTAGACCATTTAATAGAAATCTTAAAAAGTACAGCTCATTAAAACGTTAACTGTCCGAGCGTCCTACAGTACTGTGCAAAAGAAATGAGAGCGAACTTTTTGTTCTAGTCCCTGCCAAAGTTCGCGGCATGAACCGAAATTTCGTTGCGAAATTTCGAGAAAGCTTCACCAAATTTCGCGTCATTAACGAAATTTCGGTTCGACGAACCGAAATTTCGTGCGAGCGAAACGAAATTTCGTTGTTGAAAAGTTCTTAACTGACCAGGGCGCGGTTGTTTAAAGCAGGATTAAGATAAAACAGGATTAAAGCGAAATTTGACTTCAATTGTGAACGCTTACAAAGCAGATTCACATGGATTCTTTTTGCTGCCATTTGATATTTGGATGCTCTAAAATCACGAGTCGAAACAAGCATAAAAAGGGCTGTTGAGCAAAAGAACAGGAACTCGTCGCAAACGGATCGCAACGATAATTGAACGTTTGCTTCCAATCAATCCGTTTTTCAACGATCCTACCGATCGTATCATCCATACCGAAACCACACCTTACATGTACATGCACCAGTAACAACATGAACCTCAGTAGGCAGAAAATCTTCTGAAGAAAATTTGAGACGGAACGACACTTGTTAATTTACGTATTCTTATTTGTGTTTTAATCTCACTAAATGAACGCGAGGTTTACTCGATATTGCTGTCTGTTGTTCGCCGATTCACTTTTAAAAACCGTCAAAAACTTTCAAAAAAACTATTCAGAACATTCTATTACAAGAAATATAATTTTCTTACACGCCTTTTTCAATTTGGTTCTTATGGAGCGAGATCCACGGATCAAATGTACTTTCGTCATAGTAGTAAATTGCTCAACATGTAATTATCGAACTACATGAAGCATTCTCGCTTGAAATTCCTGCCTGTCCTCCAATAAATTTCGCCTTCTCAGCGTCGAATGCAAACAAGAGCACAATTAAACGAAGACAAAGAACGGTTGAGGCGAGTTGTTTAATCTTATGTTATTTTAATCGTATTTTATATTTTTGTTTTTATCTGTTTCATATACCGAAACGGTTGTCCCCAGCAGGAATAACTTCACGACCACACTGACATTGATTCTGGTACAAAGCTGATTCAGGCGTTAGATTGCGGATTTGAAACCTCCGGATACGCCACCAAACCGGGGCTTTTTTATTTCGGATACGCATTTGCCTGTAAACGGCAAAATGAATCCGTTACTAAAATGTTTCGGATTCATCAAAAATCCGTCAAAATCTCCCCTCGTGCACACATAGCTTAAACACATACTCGACACACCTGAAAACCGATATCACACTCATTGCGACATCGCTCTTTGCGTAAATTCAACGTGGAATTCCTTCCTGCAGGTATCGAATTTTCCTATAGTAATAAAATTTGTTTAAATCATTGTAGATCATTTCCGTTATATCCCCTTTGATTTTGAAGTGAGTGGGAGGGGGGAGGCTAAATATGTCACGTGACATATATGCTTCAGGCTTTGTTCTTGCTGTTAGTTATTCTACCGGCTATGTGATTTGCCACTTTGAAGCAAATTAAGGCATGCCAAATTGACAATGACATTGTACCTGGTCCTCCGGCAAGCTCCATGCCAAAAATTCATCAGCAACTGGATACGTGTAGGTCAAATACCAAGGAACAAGTAGGTTGTCGTCAACACTGGACAGAGGAACAACAAGACCAAGGTACCTAAAAAGCTCCACCATTTGCAGAATCATGTCATCATCAAGACTGAATTCATCCCAAAGACACCTGTCAATGAAAGTTAGTACAAAGTATAACTTCTTCCTTTATGCCTATATACTGCAGTTTATAAATAGACCCTTGGACAGTTTTTTCAACTTTTGACACGGACAAAATCCGTCGACACCAATGAAAAGAGCACCTTAATAATATAAGTAAAACTGCCGAATTTGCCGAACGTGATGCGTCTTAAGCGAGCGAAGAGGTGGCAGGGCAAGTTTGTGCGCCCCACCATAAAAACTTCTGTAAAATTTCGCGAATTTGAGGAGCTGTGTCTTCGTTAGTTTTCAACAGATCACTTTCAAACTTCGCAATTTGACTAATTTTATGGCGCTCTTTCCATTAGGTGTGGACGGATTTTCCCTAACTTGTCCATGTGAAAAGTTTAAAAAAACCGTGGAAGGGTCTATTCACGATTAACAAAGTACAGCTTAAGATAAAAACTAGATGGCATTTCAACGTTGTCATGACGCCAGGCTGTATTTTCTCTATTTAATTTAGCTTCCATTCTCTAATAAGCCCCCCTCTCACTACCCTTCCAGACTGACGAGCCAAAAATTAAAAAACCGATCGACCGCCCTTTACTAACCTCCTTCCACCCCCAAAAGACAACGAGAACGGAACTTTATATAAAATCTGCATTTACTCATAAGTCCCCCCCCCCCCCCCCCAACCACAACCCCCCATCAACAAACAAAAAAAACACAGACATCGCAAGGCAGGCACAAAGGACAGATCTAACAACAACACAAAAAACATAATAATGATACACCATCACATACAACCACCTCAACCCCAGATATATTAACAACTCACTATTCGAAAAGGACCCCCCCCCCCCCCCACCACCAGTCCAGTATCAGAAAGTAAATAAGACCCCAGGGGAGGAAGTTTGGTAACAAAGTCGTGCTTATAGTAGGTCTCAAAAGAAATTTTTAGAGATCGCATTCATTTAAGAGTGTTTTTCTCATGTTTCCTATTCTGCAAGCCATTGTAATAAGGATTTAATACTACACATAAGGACAATCGTGAGGGCTTACTATTTGTACGGAAAGCCCATTTATTCCGGGGAGAATCGGCCTTTTGCAATAGTTGGTCACGTGATAAATTTTCTGTAAACACGAAAACAATTCTTGGTAGAGAAATGATTTTAATAGGAACTGAAAAAGCATAAGATTAAGTAACCAGTAAATTTGAAGCCGTTTAACTGAAAAGTAGCGATTGCAACGGCCGCCGAAACTTAGAAGGATTTGTATGGGAAATACAACTCTTGCCACCCAGACACGGTTGAGTGGTTTTTCATACAAACTGTCAAACTGTCGTAAAACATTTCTTTTATACGCATAACCGAACTCAAGCTTCCTTTTGTTCATAACAGAAAATTTAAGCCCTGTCATGCTTAAGGGAAAGAGTTTATGACAGTTTGAAAATTTGCAAACTTTACTGTACTACTACAAAAATGTAGCATGGGTAATTACGCACACCCCTGTGTTCAGGTCAGGGTTTTCTTTCGAAAAGCAATACCTTAAAAGATCTTGTGACAACACGGCCTCTTTTAATAGTTTCTCCTTGAGTTCATTAAAATATGCAACAAAGACTCCATATCTCAGAAAGTTATCGTTATGCTGTAGCTTTGTCTCCAAATCATGACGGAAAAGACAGCTGGTTAATTTTGCTAACCATCGGAAATCAATGAATACTTTATAGTGGGATGAAATGTTACTGAAATATCGTAACTCCCCAATGGCGTCTAGGTATGAGAGAGCAGAGTGGATGCCTCCTGAAGAGAGATTAGTGCATCCTTTGGCAAAAGCTTCAAACTCTTCATAGGACATGCATCGGACCTTATTCTCTTCTCTGACCTTCCTTAGCGCCTTCTCAAGCTTGATCCAGTCTTCTGGCAAATTTTTGCCCACAGAGGGGAAGAGCTGGCAGTCATTTGCTACCCGAAGGATCTCCTCTTCCAAAACTTTGACTCCTGTGAGCTCACCTTTGTTGCTGACTGGAACCATGGCGATATAGCTTTTCACGTTGTCTTGTGTTGGGCAGGCTTCTTCCTGCATCGAAGAAGGAAGTCACTGTGTTACTGTGAATACGATAGCTGTTGATTGTAATAGTAATAATTCTGGACAACGCGAGTAATAGTCAGTAATGGACATAAGAAGATATAATCATGGAAACTGGGCATATGAAAATAGTGTTCTGTATTTCTAGTCTGTGAAGGAAATCCTGGTTTTTTGAAGCCCACTATGCATTACCAGCATACGAGTAGTCTCTTATTTTCCTCAAGCACAGCTGGCAGCATGCATAAAAATCACTAACCACTAGGAGAGGTGACAGGAAGCTAAAAAAAGAAAAAAAAACATTTTTCATGGGCGTTCCTTATCTATTCGCTTTACTATTCTTGAGGGAAAAAAGGTTATTTGAAGTATCTTGCATGGGACATTTGACACTTGTATAGTGTCAACATTTCAACATTATGAGCACAGTGTAATAACTTACATTATCACCAAAAAGAAGAACCGACGAAATGATTGGTAGGTTCTTTTTCTTCCACTCCGGATCAGTACCTCCCTGCAGAGTTTTTTTCAACTTTTTTTTCTCCTTCAGTTTCTTCTCAGAAATTTCAGAATCGATCAAAGCTATATGAGTCTTGCAGTAATGCTCAACACGTTCCAGGATATCAGTGCACTTTCTCTTGATACTGTCCTCATCACCGGGTTGAAATCTGTCCAGATGAGTGGGCACAATCATGATTCGCGGTTGCAATATGCGTGATGTAAGCAGATCGAGCCAGTCACCTACAGTTTTGCTGAAACATTCCCCATTAGGTTTATAGTTGAAAAGGTCCACAACTAAGATGTGCAACGCCTCTACAAGATACGGAAAAAAAATAAAGCAATTAGTGTTAGAGAGATACCAAATCCCCACTAAGCTTAGGCTGTAACGCTATTGATGTACATTTTGTTTTCAGTTGACCACTTCTCGATACCCCCCAAGTAATTAGAAAAAAAAAGAGCCTAAGAAGTGACACTATTCCAGTTTGCACTCAAGGACAGGGTGGTATCGTCAGCATATTATATATTACTGGTGGATTTGTTCAAACGTAAATGCATATCATTCACAAATAGGAGAAGTAGTCTCCTCCTCGATGTAAGAACTTGTTAAACTCACGGGTGACGTAAAACAAAGAAAGCAAAGAAGTCAACACAAAAGAACCTAGCAAAACAAAAGACGCAAAACAAAAAAAATTCACAGGTTCATACACCGAGGTAGACCCGAGAAATAAAACTGGACCTAAGATTGATCCCTGCGGTACCCCTTGCATGACAGGGTTCCAGATACCACCGAAACCAGGCCACGCTATTTGAGCTAGCACCGTACACTGATAATTTCTTTAATAGCAGATCGTGATCGGTTACGTCGAAAGCTTTACGGAAATCCACAAGTACCAGTCTCGTGACTTCATTATCATCTATTTTAAACAAAATTTCGTCCGTGATCCGAATGAATGACCAGAACGGAAGGCTGATCGCAATTCGAATCGCAAATTGTTCTGTTTTAATGGCGAGCTTGCTACAAGCTTTTCGACGATTTTAGATAGGATTGGCAGCACTGATCAGTATGGGGCGATAGTTGTTTCTTTCACGTGGCTGACCAGTGACCCTTGTGCAGTGGTGTAACGTGGCTGACATGCTGTGTTTGTTGCAGTTGATAAGCTTATTTGCCTGCATAGCGGGTGGATAAATGAGGGTGCGATAACTTTGAGGATTTTGGCGCTAAAACGATCATGCCCAGTTGTTTTGTTGACAGAGATCTTACCGATGACAGGAAAAGGGACAGCCCAGCTGTTTTTGGCAGAGCTGTAGAAAATAGATCGATTTAGAATCACGTTTACGGCAAACGGCAAAAGTGAATTTGCACCACTTGACCAACTTTTCTCTTTACTTGTCGTTTACTGTTCATCGAAGCTACACAAAGTTTAGTAGTTTCACGCCAGTTTTATCGATTCCCTTAGTATCGTTTTGGACAGTTTTTATCTTCACATTTCCTAATATAAGAAATTTTCAACTTGAATCTGACGTTTGCCGCCGTTTGCAGTAAACGTAACTCTAAATCTCTCCAACGGCGGAAGATTTTATACGTTACGCGAAGTGGAAATAGCCCTACTATTGCCTAAACAAGAATAACAAAAATACCACTCAACGGATGACAATTGCTTTTTGGAGAAAATCTGCTAGAATAACATCCCTTCATAACCTGAAACTCCGTGCGGAAAAATCGGCAAATGTTATGGAAATGGAACTCTACATAGATCGAGGTAAACATGTTTTTACGTTGGAAATATTCAGTCAATAAATATTAAAACAATTATTGGATTCAGTATACAGTATGAACAATTGTTTAGAATAACACCCTGCGACATCTTCATATCATACGAATGCTGAATCCAATCATTGCTAATTATATGTTGTAAAAATTAGCTACATTACTTTTGAATCTGTGGATGAAATCCTACAGTGTAACCACTCAAATGAAACCGATTGAGCAGAGCATACTTCTGTTTAGTACGCTGTACGAAGTAGTTCTAACTTTTCAATATGTGGATGAAATCCTACGGTGTCACCATTCAAATGAGAGGTTCTCTGCAATACGTTCCCGTAAGTGGTGCTTTTCATTACGTTGTACAGCGTGGGTCTAGCTTTAAAGCATATGGATGAAATCCTTAATCATTAATGAAATAAAGCTACTGAGCAGTACTTTCCTGTGGAACTATTTCTTGTGCTGTACAATGTGGTTCATACTTTTGAGTCTGCGGATGAAATCCTAAGTGTGACCAGTCAAATAAAACCAACTGAACAGTACTTTTCTATGGTACTGTTTATCATGCTGTACAAGGCGCTTTAACTTTTAAACCCGTGGACAGAATCCTATAGTGTGACCATGTAATTGAACGGTACTGGGCACGGTTGCATAAAACGTCCGTAACAACTACGGGTATACGTGCGTGCATTAGTAACTTAAGTCAGTTGCATGAAATCACTTAAGTGGTCCACTTAGGGAATTCACTTAAGTGGGTGCACTTACGATTTTCGTAAGTGTTCACTTAAGTGTCGTTTATGCAACAGAAATTGCGGGTGTTGCCTAAAACTTTTTTTACGGGAAAAATAGCACATAAATTTACGGGACCTATGTAGGTCCCGTATCGTTAATGTTTTTATTAAAGTTAACGAGATCTTTTACTGAGAAGTGAAAAAAAGTATTTTTCTCCACGTAATTCGTTCTTATGCGCTTTGGTAACCTCTAATGTACACTTGAAGGCCGTCTTCGTGAAAAAAGAAGAAGAACTATCACTTTCAGTGGATATTGAAGAAAAATTAATAACGTTTGCATGGAAATTTCATTTTTTGAGAGGCTTAAAAGTGTTCGAAACGACTTTTAACTTTCTTTACATTCACCGATGGTTAGCTTTAAAAAAAAGAGTGAATCATTAATAAAGTACTATATCAAGGTTACGTGTGCCCTTAAGTGACCCGTAAGTTACCACGTAAAACAGAAACTTACGAGAGTGCTAAGTGCGTTCCATGCAACACCCGTAAGTGTACCCACCTGAGCACTTAAGTAGGTCACTTACGAATCCGCTATGGGTACACTTATGGGTGTTGCACTTCACTCTTTTTTTTTAAGCTAACCATCGGTGAGTGTAAAGAAAGTAAAATTCGTTTACAACACTTTTAAGCCTCTCAAAAAATGAAATTTGCATGCAAACGTTATTTTTCTTCAATATCTACTGAAAATGATAGTTCTTCTTCTTTTTTTTTTCACTTCTCAGTAAAAGATCTCGTTAAATTTAGTAAAAACAGTGACGATACGGGACCAATATAGGTCCCGTAAATTTGCGTGCTATTTTTTCCGTAAAAAAAGTTTTATGCACCACCCGCAAGTTCTGTTGCATAAACGACACTTAAGTGAACACTTACGAAAATCGTAAGTGCAACCACTTAAGTGAATTCCCTAAGTGGACCACTTAAGTGATTTCATGCAACTGACTTAAGTTACGAGTGCACGTACGTGTACCCGTAGTTGTTACGGACGTTTTATGCAACCGGGCCCTGAGCACTACTTTCTAGTGGTTCCGTTTGTAAGTACGCTGTACAACGTCGATCTAACTTTTAAGTCCGTTGATGAACTCATAAGATGTGACCATTCAAATGAAACCTACTTGGCAGTATTCTTGCTTTGAACTATTTGTTTTTAACATTTTACAAAAATGGAATTTCTAATTTTTCAAGAATTTTAAATTAGGTCCATACTGTTGAAAGGGTTAAGGACCCATTATCGCATCTTTTGAGGCCGTTACTTAGGAAAAGTCTTCAAGCTGTAGCAGTTGAAATAACCGGGCTTACATAGGACGAAATTTGGACAGTGGTCCATAAGTGACCGGATGCATCTGTGACGTCATCAATGTCTCGTGACCCAATACAGAAAATCGTGTTTTTACTGAGAAACGTAAATCCTGGGCCAAAATATTTATTATTATCATCATCCTTATTTGAATGCGAAAAACTTTAGGCAGGGATCTTTCGTTTCAAGGAAAGCTTCAGAAATGAGAATGCAACGTGTGGTCCACGAACTGCACTTTCGGACATAATTTTCCTGTTTTTGACATTTTTCCAAAAAGCATGTTAGCGTTCCTTAAAACAGAGTTTTTTTTCCATTGATTCGAAGAACTGTCACTACACGTTTTTCTCTTTGAGAAAAATGCTTCTAGGTACTTTCACCGAAAGTAACACGCAACACGTAATTCGCAACACGTAACACGCACGCAATGGCCAGTTCAAGAAACTGCCTAAAATGGCCTAGCTTGCGTCCTGAATCTGGACCCAAAAAGTAGACCGAACAGCTCCCAAAAACGTTTTTAAGCTAGTGTTTCTCAAAACGCACACAATTTTTTTAGATCCGGGAAAAATTGTGTTCACTGACATTTTTTCCAACTAATTTGAGGTTGCTCCAAAGCTCGCCGCTCAAAAAACAATAGCAAGAAGTAATAACTAAGGAGCCGTTTTTCGATTCACTTAGCGATGAAATTAAAACATACAGAATAGTTACAGAATTGTAACAATCATTTACTGCAGAAAATTTCTATTTGATCTACCCAACAAAAGTGAAACTCATTTTTCATGACGTCGAAATTAACAAGTCCATACACGCGATAAGTGCAATTTTTATTATTTAAAAGCTTTAATACGTTTAAGGCATTTTTATGTATGCCATAAATTGTATTAAACTTGTATCAGATGCAAGCTAATTAATATCTTACTAGCAGTGAATGTCAGTTGTCATATGATTATTACGCGGAACAAACAGAGCGACTAGACTTTACTTAGGTAAATTATAGCAAGCTTTCCAACAAAGCGAGCCAGTCAACATAACTTACAAGGCTACTGACCATTCAATCCCTTTTTTTCTGTTCAATCACAACCTCGTGTTCTAAATGAAAAATAAACAAAAAATACTCGCGCTTCCCCTACATAACAATAAATTAGTTTCGCACTCAAACAAAAAAACTCACTCTCGATGTCCATCTCGAAAAACGTGCGCGCGTAACGCGAACGCTCAAAAACGCGCGACGTACGAAAACCGGAAGTCAATTTCCACCTGTATAGTAACTGGGTTACCTAGCAACGACATACGATAATGCGCCTTTAAGGATGCTTGCTCACAAGCTTTCTTACCTGAAAAGAGAAGAAAAG